CTAAAGACTAGTGATCTCTGGTGGCAGGGACCTCAATGGCTCAGAATGCCAAAAGACCGTTGGCCATCGTATGAAATCCCAAATGACACAAATTTGGAAGCCAAGACGGCAAAAGTCATGACCATTTTCGCGGAAAAGGAAGACCCTTTAAAAAATTTCTCCTCTTTATCTAAAGTTTATCGATCATACGCATATGCCCTAAGACTCTGGAAAAATACTGGATCAAATAGGCAACACCTTCGCACCTCATCAAAAAACCTTACTTCAGAGGAAATCCAAGATGGAAAACGATCTTGCATAATTCGTACCCAGAAATTCGTATATGCAGACGAATACAACTCACTTACGAAAAAGACTCAAATTTCTCCGTCAAGTCCTCTGTTGACACTCAACCGTTTATAGACTCAAAGGGTATTATTAGAGCAAATGGCCGATTGGTACAATCGCCAGCCCTTACCTATAGCGAACGTCACCCAATAATATTACCACATGGCGCAAAACTTAGCAAATTATTAGTCGAATTCACTCATAAGGTTACTTTACACGGGGGTAATCAACTAATGACCCGAGTATTAAGGTCCGAATTCTGGATATTTGGATTCAAGTCGCTTATCAAACAAACCATACGAAAATGTCGAATCTGCTTAATTCACAAAAAACAAACCCAAACTCAAATAGTGGCTTCGCTACCACCCGAACGCACTTTTCTTTCTCGACCCTTTACAAACACAGGGGTAGATTTTGCAGGACCCAGCTTTGTTACAAAAGGTTACGTGTGCCTATTTGTTTGTTTCGCTACTAAGGCTATACATTTAGAACCCACAAGCGATTTGTCAACATATGCCTTTCTTGCCGCTTTTTCTAGGTTTATTAGTCGGCGAGGTTGTCCGTCTTGTATATTTTCGGACAACGGAACTAACTTTGTGGGAGCGGTTGATCTATTAAAGCGAGATAGATTAGCTTTCATGAAAAGTATTCAAAATAGCACAATTCAAAATAATTTCACTCAAAATCTTACTTGGAAATTTATTCCTCCTGGTGCTCCGCACATGGGCGGCTTGTGGAATCTGGCGTCAAATCATTTAAAACTCATTTGCGAAAAAGTATCCCAAAAATGAATTTTACCTTTGAAGAATTTACAACAATTTTATCAAGAATTGAAGGCTGTCTCAACTCACGACCCTTAAGTCCTGCTAGCGACGACCCAAACGACCTTTCCCCTTTGACACCTGGTCATTTCTTAATAGGAACACCTATTCTTACCCCAGCTGAACCAGACATTTCAGATAACGATTTAAGATTAGTCAATCGTTGGAAAAGACTCAAAGTTATTTCGCAATATTTTTGTAACAGATGGAAGTTAGAATATCTTCACGAACTTCACAGAAGAACTAAATGGAAATATGAAAAAGAGAATATCAAAGAAGGAGATTTAGTTGTCGTAAAAGATGATAGATTGGCTCCGCATGAATGGAAGTTAGGTCGTATCGAAAAAACCTATCCAGGTAGTGACCAAAATACAAGGGTTGTAGACATACGGACATCAAGTGGCAACATTACCAGACCCATTACAAAAGTGTCAAATTGTTTTCCGACTGACTAGTCGGATTCTCACTCAAAAAAGAATTTAGTACTCGCCTTAATTTCTTTTCAGATATGGCCGCTTACTTGCCCAACCAGGACTGCCGTCTGGACGATCGCAACCGTAGCCCAGACTCACCTGCCCGTCCCACAGCAAGAAGCGCCAATCGACCCATGCGGCCAATCCATCGTCCCGGTTCCACATCCCCTGAAAGACGTCAACGAAGTCGATCCGATGCAAGACCCCGTCAACGCCAAGAAAGACCAAGCTACTGGCAATATTCATGTGGACTATGCCAAGAAGACCATGCCCTCAGTGCCTGTGAGAGGTTCCGCCGGCAGACGCCCTTTCAGCGGTATGAGACCGTGGAGCGTCGGGGGTATTGCCGAAATTGCCTGGCGAGAAGTCATTTGGCCCCCGACTGCCCGTCTTAAACTGGTTGCCGGAGATGCAACGACCGGCACCATACCCTTTTGCACGGGGCGTCTCAATTGGACGAGGTATCCCTCAACATAGAAGTCGTCACCACCCCAGCCTTCGCATGGGATTTAGTTTTGTACCAACAGCGATGGTACGCATAACGGCCGAGGGCATGGAGGGTTTCAGCATGTTGCGAGCCATAGTTAGCCAATCGGCGACGATGTCCAAGATCTCGTATGCAGCTTGGGTCTGCAGTCGCGGAGCTACAAAGGTGAGCGATTCACCACCTTCACCGTTTCGCCCCGCCGCACAAACTCTGATTGGAGTCTGAAGGTAAATGCTTTAATAATTGAAGACCTCCCCAGACGCATTTACTCAGACCCGATATTAGAAAACCCCACGAGATGTTTTACGAACTATGCTCTTGCTGACCCGGATCCCAGAGGAAATAGTCCGATCGATGTGGAACTGGCAGCGGACACGTACTCCGCCATAAGGAAGGATGGGTGTACAGCAGCTGGAATTGGAGATGTCCTGGCCTACAACACACAACTGGGCTACGTGTTTGCTGGACCAATCAAGAACATGCCGAGGAACTGAAAACCGAGGATACAAATGAATACTTACACTTGTCATTCGGGGCCCAGAAAATGTTCATAAAATTGCTATAATTTTGCCCAACACTGTTGGTTGGATATTTACCGGCGGCCGCATAAATGGCATCATAACGAAATGATGTAAATAATGTAAACACATACACACATACATTTATGCAGCCACCGGTAAATTCCAATGCTGAATTTCAGTAACTAAGCATCGTCAACAGCCAAAACAGGTTTGATGTGACGATGCAAATTTGGCAATAGTTAGTTCTAATCGAATTCTAAGCGCGAACGCGAGTTTCCCCCCGAGTGACAAGTGAAACTGTCAATACAAAAACACAAAATAACAAGACTAATAACATAACTTTTACAAAAAAATAGAAACATAAAACAGTGAATTTACAACATAAAGAGCCAAACACAAAACAAGAACATACAACAAGAAGAACAAAGAAATTGTTGAATTGTAAAACTTACAAACTAGTTAATTTAAGAATACATTAATTTGAAACCTGTGAATTAAAACTTAGAAACTAGTGAGTTAAAACTTAAAGTATACAAAAATAAATAAACTAAATAATACTTATGAACTATTGAAAACTTAAAATAAATTATAAAAACCTAAAATCTAATGTTACATCTAAATTGCACTTTCCCCCTAGAAAAAATCTAAATAATAATAAATAAAAACACGAAGAAAAAAAAAAACAAAATACTTTCTTATAATTTAAAAAGACTCAAAGGCAAAAAGGTAAGCCTAAAAACAAGTACCAATAGCGTTACTTTTTGATGAGGAGACAAGAGCAAGCGTAAAACTTTATATTTACTGATTATTGATATGCAATACAGGAAAACATTAAAAATAATTAAACCATTAAGTATGAACCACTAAAGCAAACATTTTATGAATTGTCGTTCAAAAATGGCAGAAAAAAAGTGTTAAGAGTTAAAAAATATATATTGGAAAATAAAAATTACAATTCCAAATGGTTTCATCGTGGCGAAAGAAATGAAATGTCTAGGAGGATTTGCTAGAAAAGATAATTTCTCGTCACCAGAGCAACATATGTATGTCTGGGGTTTCTTATTGAAACTTCAACACATTACAACGTGAAGTTCCTGAATTATTGCACGCATTATATTAACTTTCCTAAAACAATAAAAAAGAAAATTATTCTTTTGGCTTAAATTGAGTTTAGCCTCAGCTGGCAGAAAATTCTGGAATTTTTGCTAAAGGTAGGTCGTTTTCCTAATCACAGCGACATAAATATTTTTGGAGAAAATTAATACTTCTTGAGATGTAGGGTTCCAAAGTTACAAAAATACATCAACTTCAAACTGTCACAACAGGTAGGTTTCTGTATCCTTATTACAACAAAAAAACATTTTCAGGGAGTGGGTCCATACTTCCCGAGACATATGGCTCCGAATTTTATAAAGGTCATTATATTTTTGATTATTTAATAAATATTAAATTTATGTAAACGCTGGTAAAAAAATTGAGAGTAACAAGTTGTTTGCAGTATGGGGCATTATGGACCCATCTTTCGGACATGTTTTGTTGTTGTAATCAGGATAGAAAAACCAACCGGTGGTGACATTTTGAAGTTTTTATCTCGATTATTGTCTTACAAATATCAAAATAAAAAAAAATTCGCAAGTTTGGAACTTCTTTATTTAGTTAAGTATTGATTTCACTCCGACAAAATTAATTGCAATAACACGACCTACCTTTGGTAAAAATTTCTGCATTTTCGGCTTAAGTTTAGGGATTAACCTGATTGCAAAGTAATTTTTTTTTTTTGTGGCAGAAATACCCATTTACCTCACTATTCGACACGGAACTTCGGTCATATGATTCCAGAGCAATACAAGAAAATTTGTATTTCTCTGCCGGAACTTTTTGAAAACCCCCTAAAATTTGAAGTGAACCCATTATGGGATATTAAAAACTGCATACTACATTGTACCCTACATTCTGGCCTTTCCAAAATTATGCTAAATGTATTGATATCTTGTAGTTCTGAAGATATTAGTGTTGCAAATCATGAAATTGAGATTTTCTCTAATACCCCATAAAGGGTCCATTTTTTTTGGGGGCTTTTAAAAAAGTACTGGTATAAATTACCAATTTTCTTAACTTACTCGGAAACTGGTTCCAATAACACCATCACTTGTTAGATAGATATTTCAATAAGCTTTCAAATTATACCCATTTTGTAAATAAATGTTTGTAGAACTGGATAAAACACGATTTTGTATCTGAACTTCCGAGTAAATAACTATGTAACAGGGTATTTCCCCCTCGAAAAAATTATTTTCCCTTTATCGGGTTAAAAATGCCTACGTGCGGTAAACGTTTCAAATGATCTAAGCATAGCCCCTAAACTCAACTGGCTCCGAAAGAAAATTTGAGTAAAATCGGGCCGGTCGTTATTAAATTTTGCTTATACACACCTACATCATATGATATGCGTAGAATGGCTGCAAAAGTTAATCATTGCTGCATACCATACATAATCGCATCAATCCGTGATTATACCAATTGTAAGTTATTGTGGATTTTACTAAAAAGACACCACAAATATAAACTGCCTAAGTTTTTTTCTGATTCACAAAGTGGGTTCCAGAAGAATTAAATAATGCACATACATATTTACTTATGTATATACATTATTTTATCCTTCTAACATGCTGAACATAAAGCACGATGTGATGTTTGTATTTATCGTGTAGTCCATTGATTGCCATATGTGCATGCATATGTATGTAAATTGAAATGCCTGCTGTAAATACGTCAGTGCCTTGGTATTTGGTCTGCCTTTTGCTTTAGTGACAAAAAGAGCAATGTAATATTATGTGAGTTCCCGTACGAAAAAATAGCAATACAATTGATGAACCAAATTGGAAAACTAATAGGTATTTCCTGGTACTAGAAAAGAGTATTTGTTTTATTTTCTTATATAAAATGGCAGAAATGAATTGTCTGAATTGTCCATGGCTTGGAGCTGTATTCCAGAATCACTATAATCTACCTTGATACAGACTATATACATTCTTGATCAGCGAAATATTTTCAGTCGATTTAGCGCTGTTCGTCTGTCTGTTTTAATCTCGCTATCTTTCGAACGAATATATAAATCTTAAATTTCCAAGAAAATGTGTCATATCAGTCGACATCGTGTAGCCCCATCTCTCGACATGCAGGGTTTTGGCGATTTAAGCCACATTACTAACGGTATTGTTTAAAATTCGGCATTTCATAACAATTTCTACAAAGATCCTAGGGTACCTATAGACTCCAAATAACGGTTACTCTCGATATTCGGTATTTCTACGGTTTAACCACATTTTCTAATGAAAGTGTTTCAAATTTTGTACATAATGCTCGCAATAGATACCAAACACTGTAGCCAATAACTTTCTATGTAGGTTCTTGTTTTTTTTATATAGTCCCTATTTACCGGTACCTCCTAATATTGGAATTTTAATGTTAAGACACATCTAAGATTAAATCGTGACTTTGGCATGCGAATACGACAGTGTTGCCACTTGTAGCTATAACAGTGTTGAATTTTCAAGTTATTGCAGCCAAAAAAAGGCAACAGTGTTATATTTTTTATTGGTTTTGGATTGGAAATTGGTTTATGTTAGTTCACGTTTTGGTATAGCTCCCATGTACAGGTACCGCTAGTTTCATTAAGACTTTTTAAAATAAAATTCGTTCCAGTAATATTCATGTTTTCATCCCTCCTGGCGGAGGTTTACTTTCCGTAATTAATGAAGTTTGTCGTTTAGTTAACGACGAAATTAAAGTAGTCGCTAGTTCGCAGTTCTTCTTTGCGTTATTCACAGGTCTTGGAGTTATTTTAAAATAATTTCTGGGGAGAATATCCCAGACAAAAAGCAAGGGAACTGATGAGGATTTGTGGTTCTTTCCGAAACCTAGGTATTCCCTGCCTTATCCCCTGTTAAACATTGCCATCTTTCTCCACTAATAAACAAACGTTGTTTTTATAAAAACAACAATAATGGGATTAAGCCTAACTATTTTGCAACAATGAAAAATTGAACATTCATAGGTGGGATTTGTCGAAAAAGTATTCTTACGAATGGACTGGTAAAAATTATATCTACAGTATTTTCTTTTGTATCTATCGCCACCTATGCTACTGCAGCATTGTCTTAACTGTAAGATATGTCCCTTGTTACATTTTAGTTTTCCTTTTTGGAGAATTATTCCCAATCCATTAATACTTGTACAATATTTTCTGGCACATGATCAAAAACTGTATTATTAAAGATCGGATATACTATTTATATTCATTTTGATGTTAATTTTATAACGCGTAGTAATTAACGGCCGATGCCATATTTTTATACCCTTTACCTTGGAAAGGACGGTATAGGGTTGCCCATATTCGACGGACCTTTGGGAAAAATTTTTATTGTGCCTAGGATGGTTGGTATTGAAAATCAGATGTATCGGTCCACGGTTTGGTATAGTCCCCATATAACGGTACCTCCCGATATTCGGTTTTTTTATGATTTTCCACATTTTTTCATGGATTTTTCTTAAAATTGGTGTTTGTAGGTCATAATGGGTTCTAGCTCCGGTGGCAAAACATTGTATGTGTAAGCCCATGTTTTGGTATAGCCCCCATATAACGGCACCTCCCGATATTCGGTATTTTGATGATTTTTGCCACATTTTCTCTCGAATTTGTCTAAAAATTGGTATTTGTGGGTCATAATGGAGTCTAGCTCGTATGGCGAAACATTGTATGTATAGGTCCACGTTTTGGTATAGCCCCCATATAACGGTACCTACTGATTTTCGATTTTTTGATAAAAATTGGTATTTTTAGTTCATAATGGGTTCTAGTCCATTGGTGGAACATTTAATATTTAATTAAACCTTTTCACATAACGCACATATAATGGTACCCACTGATATTCGATATTTTGATAATCCTAGTCATATTTTCCCACATAATTGTTTCAAATTTGGTATTTTAGAAGATTTGATATATGGCAATCCTTGAAGTACAAAATTGTCTATAAAGGTTCCAGTTTTGGTATGGCCCCATATAACGGCCTCACTCACTTTATGGGTTTTTGATAAGTTTAACTGCATTATGTAAAAGGTCTTACTGGAATATGAAGTTTAAGGTGTAACACGCTTGAATTCAGATACTTTTACATAAAAATGTTTCCACCTTAGGGTAAGGTGCGAGGGTATAAAAGTTCGGCCCGGCCGAACTTAATGTTTTTTACTTGTTACAACTTGTCTCTGTTCTGTTATAACTTTATTATTATTCATTATTTCAGCATTTAAATTTGAATAATTAAAACATATGTTATACTTACTACTTATGTTGTTGCCTTTATTGGCATGAATTAAATAAGGTTGTACGGTAAGTGAATTTAAATTTAAAATGCAAAAAAAAAATTAAATCACAGTTATGAAAAACTGTCAGTTCGTTAAATTGACCGACAAATTTGCCAATGATAACCGATTATGACTGTTGGCTAACATTTACATTTTTTAATCACGAGACTAAGATCTACCTACAGAAAAAAATCCAGATCGACCCGAGGGTTTTAGCTAAATAAGAATTGTTCCTATGTCACGAATGTCGTATTCATAGATCCGCTATGGAATTGGCATTTAAGATTGAGTGGATTTCGTAAAATCTTAACGTACTTTAAAAGCTTAATTAGGATTAAACACGATGATTGACTACCAGCTTAGCATCGTTGCCTTTATAATGTGTCACTTATATGCATTGCGACGGCTTCAAGCTTCTTGTGTATTGTGTAGAATAAACAATGAACAAAATTCTAGTTCTTCTCGTTCTATGTCATATTGTTCATGCAAAAAAACCTTCTTTGTGTAAGAATATAAGTCTTGCGTGGTTTCCAAAGCACTCTCCCCCGTGCAAATATACTACTGTTGATATTGCTGATTCTTTAAACTCATTTTTTTTTTAACAAAAAATGTGCCCGTTTCTGTTGGACCTTTTTTTTGATAAATATTCAATTTTTTTGAGTGCTTTGACTGTCATTGTACAAAATTAAGGTATTCAAACGAATAGTTTTCCTTTGAAATGACGAGCTTTTTTAGTTGCCTCAGCTATTACATTATATCCAGGAAAGCGAAACCTCTCTTTGTTTTCGTGCTTCCCAACATATATATATATATATATATATATATATATATATATATATATATATATATATATATATATATATATATATATATATATATATATATATACATATATATAAACAAACTACAAACGACGATCTGGCCCCAATGAACGTCAACTACATCTATATTAATTTTCTTGTTTAATATTCCATGTTCCAATGTTTCTTTTAAATATTTCAGAATTCTTTTAACTGCTTTCCAATATTCATCGTTGTAGTTTGAATAGACTCATAAAATTCACCGCATAGCCAATATTTACCTGCTCCCATTAATTTCTGACATGGATACTTGAACATTGCTTCTTCACAAATTGCTGATGGTACTGCCAATTTGCAATTTGATTCCAAAGGCGTGGAGTAGGATTTGCAATCCATCATGCAAAAACCATCAAGTACCAAGTCGGCGTATTTACGTTGAGAGATAAATATTTCATTTGACCAAAATTATTTACATCAAATGACGGCGATAGTGACATCGTGATGGAGTTTATCCATTTTGGTTCATTGGAAACCAACAATAAGTCGTCAATATATATAAGTATTAACATGTGTCTTCCGTACCATAAGACATACAAAGCTTTATTGAGTTCACAAACAGACCATTTCTTTCGTCCCATTGCTGCATTTCTCATGTTTCCCATTTATGTAGGCCGTCACAGCATCCATTTGATGGATTTTTGACGATGATCGCACAACAGGAGAGTAAGTTTCGTGAAAATCTTCACCAAGTGGTTGCGAATACCCTGTTGCTACTAATCGAACTTTTCTCTTTGACTCGATATACCAATCGACTGATCTTGACCTTGATATCTGCCTCGATAACGGCTTACGGTTATTCTTAACATAGACTTTGTCCTCTACATTATAAACTCTATGATTGCGGGTTTTGTTAAAGTTATGTAACTGTCTGTTCTGCACGTTACAAATCCACCCCTTTTTTACCAAACTCAGAGGGTGCTGAATGAATTGGTTTGTCCTTAGTAACAGAATATATTGTTCTATTGTATTCCATAGTTGATTGTAAAATGAGGTCAACGGTGTCCCCAACGGTCAACGGTGTCCCCAAACTTTCTTTCTATTTTAATGCATCTTGCTATTCGACAAGAGTGCTGTGGAATCGAAGACTGCTGGAATAGACATTTTTAGCAAGTCTTTTTTGAATTTGGTATTCTGTACCAGGACAACCGCTTTGACAGAAAACCAGTACCATCGACTTTATGGCATTTCTAAGACTTTTTACCAACCGATTTCCCTAGCAAAAATGGAAGTGGATCCAATGACTATCCTCATGGTTGAGGGTACTAAAATTTTCCCTGCTATTGTGCAAATAAGGT